GGGGCAGCTCTGCCCTGGTGCTGGTATTGAAGGGGGGACACCGGTCACACAGGGTCCCTGTGACGCTATGGCTGGCTCTGAAGGACCCTTCTTTCTTCTGTGTGTGTCCTTTTGGGGATGGAGGGGGGCTCAGCCTTGAGGAAAAGCACCTTGCAGGTGGGTGCCAGCTGGGAGCCCCTGGAGCGAGCTGGGTGCCTCAGCACAGTGCCAGCAAGGGGGGGTCTGGGTGGGACGTGGGACAAGGGTGAGGTTTCCATGGGATTGGTTGTTTCTTTGGTTTAAATGGGGGGAAATAAGAGGGAAGCAAAGCAGGGAATGTCTCTGCTCTGGGGTGGCACAGGGCTGGGCACTGGCTGTGCTGAGCGTCCTCCCTGCTTGCTTGGGGTCCCTCCCATCCCACGGCTGGGAACCCCCTGCCATGGCACTGGGGACACCCCTTGACATTTCTCATGTACCTTTTCAGGCCTGCCCAGCTGCTGGCAGCAGGAAACAGCACAGAGGGAAGAATATGACAGGACTGGTGGGTTATGTACAGAAGGGTCAGACCACGGTGGTTTGCGTCGCTGCTCCGAGACCCCACGGATCCTTGGGGAGCTGCTGGCAAGGACGGACACAGCAGAAGGCAATGGGCTATTGCTGGTCCCCCAGTGCACCAGGGATGAGTGTGACTCCAGCTGGGATGTGGCCTAGGAGCCTGTGGTGGGTCCTGGAGCTGTGGAGGAGCTGGAAGCTGGGAAGAGTGAGCGGGTCAGACGCTGCGGGGGTCGCTGTGTGGTGGCGACGGCTCCAGGGACGTGGCAGCAGGAGGGGACAGGGGGCTCTGCAGAAGCCAGTGCTGTGGGACCTAAAGCCATGGTGGTTGGGGATGTGACTGCACAGATAGTAGCACTGGGGGACGACGGGAGAGCTCAGGTCTGGTGTTGTCGTCCCCACCATGTCCCTGCCAGTCCCTGTGTGGTGGGGGAGCTGGTGGTCCTGGCCAGGCAGGTCACCTCCTGCTCCTCATCTCCTGGCCAGGCAGAGCTGAGCTGTGCAGGCAGGAGCTGCTGGATGCCCCGTGTGTTCCTGCTGGCAGCAACAACCATGATCCCATCCCCCTGTCCCCACAGGCAGCTCCAACGAGGCACTGCAGGGCTCATAGAGGCAAGTCCTGCTGCTGAGGCCGAGCAGCCTTTGGCTTCTCCTTAAAACAATCCCAGCTCAGCTCCTCCAGCCCTGGCTGGGAAGGTGCTGGAGCCGATGTGCTCTCCCTGGAGGAACCTCTCTTGAGTTCTTCCCGTTTTGCTGCAGGTGGGACCGGTCTCCCCGCAGCCGCCTCCTCCGTCCCGCCCGGTGGCTGCGTGAGGAAAAGAATACTACAAAGACACAGGATGAAGCCGCCCCAGCGGCTGTCGTGCCATCCCCGAGGGGACGGGGACCAGCTCTGCCGCCTTCCCCCTGCCTGCCCCACACAGCCCTGCCCAGGGAGCCTCCGAGCTCCGCACCAGCCTCCGAGCGGCCGGGAAACAAAACGGGCTGAGCTCCCGGCGGGGGCGGCCTCGGGCACGTCCCTCCGCTCTCACAAACCCTTCTCCTCTCCGAAACGTCTCTCCCAGGGGAGCAGCCCCGGTCACCGCCTCCCGCTGCCCTTATTTCTTCTCCCCTTGCCCGTCCCCTGCTGGCGTCTCGGGCTCCCACAGGACGAACTCGTGGAGCAGCGTGTTCACCGTCTCGGGACACTCCATCATCACCATGTGGCTGCCCTCGTCGATCACCTTCAGGAAGGCGATCAGCAGGATCTGCAGGGAGACGGACGGTGGGTGTCACCGGGACCAGCCCCCTGCCCGGCTCTGTGGGCAGACCCCAGCCCCTTCCCGGCTCTCACCTCAGCCATTCTCTGATCCTCCTCCACCGGGACGAACTTGTCGTGCATGCCATGGACCAGCAGCACGGGCACTGCCAGCTCGGCGTGGTAAACCTCGTCCCCCTCGGGCCAGTACTGCCCGCTCATCATGGCACGCAGCACGAAGGAGGAGACGTTGAAGGCGTTGCCTTCCTTCAGCAGCTGCTTCTCTTTGGCACCCTGGCGAGCAAAGCCAGCCCTGTGGGACAGAGCCAGCGTGGGCAGAGGGTGAACCCAGCCTGGGTAACCTCTGGGGAGCGTGGGGTGTCCCTGCCCCTGAGGAGGGTCCCCCCCCCAGGGTGGCCGGTGCCAGGGTGGGCACTCACTTGAGGAAGCTCCAGGCCAGGCACGGGGACAGGAGGTGCAGGACACAGGTGGGCATGTTGAAGATGGAGCAGAGGCTGGGCTCCAGCGCCGTCGGGCCCCCGCCGTTGATCATGATCACCTTATGGACCAGGTCTGGGTACTCGTGGGCAAGGAAGGTGCAGAAGGACACCCTGTGTGGGGGGACAGAGGTGGTGGGCAAAGGGACCATGCCCTGATCCCACGGCACTGCTGGATGCTGCACCCCAAGGCACATCCCAAGGATACATGGCTGGAGCCCAGGCTACACCCCCTTGTTTGACCCATGCTCCCCCTTTCTAGGGCAGGGTAACCCCAGTTAAACCCCTCAGAGCCCAGGCAGAGGGGCTGAGCTTGGGGTTTTTCTCCTGTGCAGACCAAAGCAGGGTGCTGAGACCCTCTTGAGTGCCCAGCAGCCTGGACCAGCCTTGTCCTGATCTGATCCTGCCCAGGCTGGAGCTCATCTCTGGCTCTCTCTCCTCCCAGGGCTGCTCTCTGCCCTGCTTAGTCTCCATCTAATGACCTTTCTTGGGCTTACTCTATTTATAGGCTCCATCTTCCTCACCAGAGGACAGGCTCTGGGATTATCTGGCCCCAGGGACACACACCAAGAGGATGTAGAAGATCAGAGCAGAGGGATAAACCCAGAGTGGGAAGCCCCACAACCCCCCTCTGCTCCTCAGCCACCACAAGTGTGGGATTTGTTGGGCCGAGGGGGAGGACGGGGTGGGGATGAATCCATCCCTTACCCGTAGGAGTGTCCTATCAGGATGTTCCTCTTCTTGGCGTAGCGCTTGAAGACGGCCCTCATGTCCTCAGCCAGGGCGTAGAAGGTGTAGGCAGCAGCAATCTGGGGAGCCGAGCTGCAGCCGTGGCCAGCCAGGTCAGGAGCCACCACTTCGTAGCCCAGCTTGGTAAAGAAGTCCAGCTGCTCCTTCCAGATGTCCAGGGAGCCGCCCACGCCGTGGATGAAGAAGAGGACGACGTCGCTGTGGGTCCCTTTGCAGCTCGTGATCTGCTTCTTGCAGTCAATGTTGATGACTTTCTTGGGCTTCCTCTTCCGCCGCTTGCC